AGCGGTCGTGCATGGATCACGTGTCTACTCTCTGCGTCGAGTCGTTGCAGAAGAGCCTCCCTGGCGCCCTTGCTGCGGCGACTGCGCCGATGTTCAAGAAGTTCGATGCGAAGGTCTCCCAGCTCTTCAGCCAGCTCACGGAGCAGGTCTCGGCGACCAACTCCAGCGCGGATGCGATGGATGGTGCTCAGCGCGAGTTGTTGCGGCGCCTGGAGCGGTTGGAGGGTGAGCTGGACTTGGCCAAGCATGCGCCACCGCGCGTGGCGTCGCAGCGCACTGCTGATTGGGATCGCGAGATTGGTTTGAGCATCTTCACGATCACTGCGAAGGAAGAGGTCGGGGTGGGCATGGTCGCGGACGCCATCAAGGAGTGGCTCGACGCCTGCTCCTACGCGCTCGGACAGGAGTGCAGGCTCGAGGGCCCGCAGCTCGGCCGTCAGTTCGCGCTGCGCATGGCGGGCCCCTTGGAGGCGACCATCCTGGCGAGGATGCGGCACTGTCAGGCGGCTCTGCGTCTTAGCCCTGGTGTATGGCGCAAGTTCCAGGCGGTGGGGCCAGGGCAGCGCCCCGTGGAGTTGTACGTCGGCCGTGATAAGAACCGGCGCGATATCGCCCGTGAGAAGGCCAGTCGCCAGTTGCGCATCGCCTTTGAGAACGCGTTCACCTTGCCGCGGCGCGTGTTCGTGGACAGAGACGCTGGCGTCCTCACCTACCAGTGGGAGCCGATGGCCAAGGTCGAGGTGTCGCCGCACGAGCTGCCCGTCATCAAGTGGAACAAGAACTGCGTCGTGGACATGGGCTTGGACTACGCCAGCGTCATGGGGGTCGGGAAGGCTTGCTTCGCTCCGAAGAAGATCGAGTGGTGTGGGTAGCAACTGGCTTGATGGGCGCGTCGTGCAGTATGTCACCTGGAACGCCCGTGCGCTGTGCCACCACGATGCGCCTGCTGTCAGCCGTCGTCTCCGTGTACTGACTGCGCTGGCCACGCCCCAGGCTATTGTTTGCCTGCAGGAGACCCACGGCTCCCGCGACGCGGTCGCTGAAGCGTGTCAGAGAGCTGGGGTGTCTCATCAAGTTTTTAGTTCGTATGCTGAGGAATCATATACGGGGGGAGTGGCCACTCTTATTCCGTCGGGTCCCTGGGCCGAGCAACATCTTTCAATTGTGCCTAGGGAGGTTTTTGCTGGGCGTGTTTTAATGCTTAAAATCACCTCCCCAACTTTTTGCCTGTTCCATTGGAACGTACATGACATTGATATCCCAGCGGAGGTTCTCCGCGAGATTTTGGAGACAGTCCGATCGCAATGTGAGTTAGTCCGTGCTGACCCGCTGCATATCGGTCTCATTCTGCAGGGCGGTTTAAACATCGCCAACTCGGAGGTGGGGGCGGGGCGGATGGGTCGGGCTGGGGATCGGCTCTGGAAAGAAGTCTTCCGCAAGCTCACCGAGCTTGCTGCGGATGCTCCGACGTGTCGGCGCCAGGGGACCCGTTCGGAGGCCTGCGTCGACAGGACTTTTACGTTCACCCCCCGTGGATTCTCTGTGAGGGCCATCAGTCGGTCTCAAGGTTGGACGAGCCTCGGGAGCTGTTCCTGCGCGGTGTCAGTGACCATTGCCCTGTCACAGTGGTCCTCTCAGCGCGCCCGCGTGGGTCGCACGATCGCTGGCGCCCCCGTCCTCTCCCTCGGATGGTGGTCTCTGATCCCCTCTTCCCCATGCTTGTTGCAGAGTATGAGAAGCTCGTCTGCCTTGAAGGGCTCGATGCCCCTGAGGCGCTCGACCTAGCCACTCGCTGTCGGCAAGCCGCAGGCCTGGCGACCCGAGACTTGGTGCTGTCTCGCGACAGCCGTGCCATGATGTCTCGGGCCATGGTTTCCAGGGCGCTGGCTCGGTGTGCTTCCCGCCAAGATGCGCGGCTTGCCAGGGCCGTCCTCGCTCGCCACAGCTGGACGCGGCAGCACTTGGGCGTGTCGGCTCTCGGCGAGGTGCGGCTGCGGGACCCTGGGGCCTTTCCGGACTTGCCCTGCCCCCTGCAGCTTCAGGAGCGGCGCGCTTTTCGCGAGCGCTTCGAGGCCGAGGCGCGAGAGGAGCTCCGCCCTGGGATGCAGCAGCGAATTCGTGCGCGTCGTGCTGCGCTTGCGCGCCGCTCGTGGCTCTGGTGCCCCTTTGGGAGAAGGAAGTTCTTGGCGGGGGTTCTGCCCTCCGGCTCTGCTGCGGCGACTTCGTCCCCCGAGGGGGTGGCTCAGGCGCTGAATAGTCACTGGGCCCCCATTTTCGGGCAGGAGACCCCGATGCCGCCTAACGCATCGAGATATGCTCAGAAGTTTTGTAATTCGTGCCTTGACTTTCGGGGCCTTCCTCCTCCTTCCCTGGGCTCGATCTCTGGGTATCTGGCTCGTGCCTCCTCCTCGGCTCCTGGCCCTGACGGGCTTCCCTTCTCCTCCTGGCGCCATGGGGCGGGCCCGAAAATCCTGCGCCAGGTGTTGCTCTGGGCGTTGGCTGGCCGTTCGATGCCGCCTGAATGTCGCGCCTCGCTCCAGGTCTTCATTCCGAAGCCGCTGCCTGGAGACGGCCCGTCAAAGGACGGGCTGGAGCGCGCTGCGAGCGACGCGCGGCCGCTCGGCTTGAAAAACAGTTCTAACAAGACCGTTGCTGCTGTGCTGAATCGGAGTCTGACTCGTGCAATGCAGGCCCTCACTGCCCCCTCTCAGCGCGGGTTCGTGCCTCGGCGGAACTTTCTCGAGCACGTCGTGGACTTGGACACGACGGCGAGGATCACTAGTGTCAGGCACTGCGGGGATCCCACTCATGCCCCCTCGCTTCTCGCCTTCGATTTCTCCCAGGCCTTCCCCTCTGCGCGGCAGGAGTGGATGATCCTGAATGCGTCCCTGGCCCCGATCCCTCGCGGATTTAAGAATGCGGTGACAGCGTATTATTATTTAAACCAGTGTTTCTCTGCCCAGGGGGACGAACAGGCTTTTTTTCTTCTGGATGCTGTCTGGCGTCCTCCAGGGGCGTCCGTTTTCGGGCTCGTTTTTTTTTTTTTGTGTTTTTTTTTTGTTTTTTTTTTTTTTTGTTGTTTTTTTTTTTGAAAAAAAAATAATAGTTTTTAATTTATTTATATATATATATATGTATATATATGTTTGCGGTCAACCCCTTAATTCGGGATTTGGAAATCCCCCTGGCCCGCGTCAGTCGCGGGCTTGTCTGAGCGTGCGCGGATGACATCGGAGTTGTTGTCTGGCATCGTGATGGATGGAGGCACCTCGGCAGAATCTTCGGTCTCGCCGATAAGCTTGGCGCGCTTGCCCTGAAGTATCGAAAATGTGTTGCTATCCCGCTTTGGGCCGAGTTATCACCAGAAGTCCAGAAGCGGTCGGAGGAACTCCTTGCTTTTGCTTGCCCGTCCTGGACCGCGTTTAAGATCGCAAGCAAAACTGCGCGCCTCGGCTGCCTCATAGGTCCTGATGTTGTCCCCTCGGATGCCTGGAGGGACCCTGTCGGGGAGGCCCTGGACAGGTGCTCCTCGTTAGGTGCCCGCGGTGCCCCGCATGCTACTTCTCTCGGCTTCTACCAGTCTCGGATCCAGACGGTGCTTAGTCATAAGATGCAGCTTTATCCTCTCTCGTGGACGGAGCCCCAGGTCGAACGACGCATGCTGGCCAGAATCTTCCGCGCGCCTTTCTCGATGTTCCGTCGAAGTGATTGGTTTCAGCGCAGCAGTTTTGGATGCCCCCAGCCTGTCAGCGTGCTTGCCCAGAGCGCTGGGACATTGATGCGTTCAGCCCTGCTCACTTGCAGCACCTGGCAGACGAATATCGCTCGGCCTCGGACGGTCATGAGGGAGGAAGGGAGATTTGGGTGGTGGGGAGGATCCGTGCTGCCCCTGCGATCGCGGGCTCGCTGGAGGAGGCGGCGTGCGGTTTCCCGAGCTCTGCGGTCCTGCGCGCAGGGGGCTCGGAGGCCTCGGCTCTTTTTCGGGACCCCCCGCCCCCTGGCCCTGAGGAGCCGAGGAGAAGGCCGAGGTGGCAGGCTCGGTTCGTGGAGGTTTTCCAGCGCGCCCTCTTCTCGGCTCGTCCACTCCATCCGCCCATCGTCCGCCGAGTGCGTAAGCATGCTCGAGTTCTCATGCGTTTCTCCCCTGCCGATTGGCAGGCCTTCCAGGGGGTTCTGGCCCAGGCCCTGCCAGCGCGGTCGTTTGTCGCTCTGCGCACTCTGATGGGTGGGTGGCTTACGGGTGGGAGGATGCAGCGCGAGGCCTGTTGCGCATTGGAATGCCCGTCCTGTCCCGATACTCTTGGCCATTACCTTTCCTGTCCCCGTTTGCTTTATTGGACGTCGATCTGCTTCCGCTCTCCCCTTCCTGCTCATCCTATCTTTCTTCTTTGCCTCCGTGGAGGTCAGCTAGCCTTTGTTGTCACTTTGTATCACTTTTTCCGCCTCTCCTCTCGCCTCGCCTCTTCCCTCCACCGCCCGATCACCTTCGAAGAGGCAGGGCGACTGGTAGGCGCCGCTCGTCTTGCTGCGCGGCCCCCAGCTGGGCGTCGGCAGCGCGCCCTCCTCAGCAGGCGCGCCCTGGCCGCCGCGGTCGTCGAGGCCCGCGGTTATCGCCGTGGCCCGCCGCTGCCATCGCTGCGGCCGCCTTTGTGTATCGTGCGAGGCAGCAGCAGCAGCGGCGGCAGTAGCAGTAGCAGATGTAGCAGCAGTAATTCAAGCAAGTCGAGTGGACGGACTCCTCTGGGCACGCTCCACCTCTCGCTTTCTCCTCCTGCTCCTCCTCCTCATGTTTTCTCCTCATCCT